CCCAGGATGACAAACACAAATCCACACTTGAGAAGAATCCAATGTACCCTGAAAAGATGGGGGAGAAGGGGTTCTTCCACAGGCCATCTGTCTGCAAAGCGGCGCAATGCCTGTCGGCCAAGTCCCTCCGCAAGCGTTCAGTGCCCCTTCCGTGGGCCACCAGGCCTGACCCCGCTGAGCCCCAGCCTTACTGCCCTTGGTGGCTAGAGTGTGGCCCCCAGAAAGTGGCGTCCTGTGAATGTCTTTGAAGACGAGCATCTGAGGACGAAATCAAGCCAAGATGAGGCGGTGGAGCAGGGCGTGCCCACGTCGGATAGAACCGGTGTCCTCACCCTGAGGAGGAAGTGCACACAGGGACCCAGAGGACGGGCCCTGAGGCAGAGCAGCAGAGACAGGTGAGCAGCTGGTAGCTGGCAGAAACCAGGACTGGAGGACCCTTCCTGGCACCTTCAGAGGGGGCGGGCCTGCCAACACCTCAGCTTAGAACTTCCGCCTTGCAGAGCTGTCATTCAAGGCCTGGCTCATGGTACTGTGTGACAGCAGCTTCAGGACATCACAGGGTGGGATGAGGAAGACGGACAGGAAACAACATCGTAACTCACAGGAAATCCAGGCCGGCAACGGCTCCGGGGCCAGGAGCTCGGTTCACCAGGAACTGATGGATGCTGGATCCAAAATGCATGCACCACTGCATCCCTGCACTCTTCCAGGCGCACCCCCAGGACCACGGGGCATCTGAGGGCTGTGCCCCTCTCTAAGTGGGCTACAAGGAGGAGCGCAGCTAAGGCAGCCCAGTCTCTGGCAGTGCCTGTGGGCCGGTGCCGGGCCTCCCAGGGGAAGGGGAGGGCCTCCGTGTCTCTCAGAAGAGCGTGACTTAAGTTTCAGCAGGAGGAATTCAGGTCAGATAACCAGAGCTGAGCAGCCTGGGGTGCCTCGGCCAGTGCACAGTGGTGGGGACAGCTGTGACACGGTGACCTGCAGGACTGTCTGCCCCCAGCAGCGTCCCTCCAACCTCACCTAGGCGCCAGCCTTGGAGCAGGGCAGGGTGCTCCACAGGCGATGGCTTCAGCGGCAGCAGGACACACTGTCAGCCCGAGGAGGGAGGCGCAGTTGTCAGGGGCCAGGTGGTCAGGATGCCCTGGCTTCCATGGCCCCAGGGACACCACGGGTCCCGGTCCAACCTAAATCACCACTTCCTGAGTAGCCTGCTTAGACACCTGGCCTTGGTCGCCACCTGCAGTCGGGGACCAGAGGGCTCTCGCACAGCGGACACCTGAGCCTCTCACTCAATGACCTCAGGACTTCTTAGTGCATGGCATCGGCCTGTGGTGGACCCTCAGAGACAAGCATGAAGAACAGAGTCCCCCCGGCCGGCTTTTCCTCTCCTCCTCCCCGCATGCAACTCGTCCTTGGGAAGCAGAAATTCCAGCAGGACAACCGACGCCATGACGATGCTTCCATTGGTGGGGACGGCTCACCCTGGCTGCACATCCTTTCCCGGGGAGGTCAGGAATGGGCACAGGCACGTTGGCAGCTCCTCTCATCTACTTTCTGCTGAAGGAATCCAAGAGTGACAGGAGTCCTTCCCAGCTGAGCAGTGATGCCCCGGTGCCTTGGGCTTGGAGATATATTTATATGTTATGTTGCCATGTATACAAAATTGCTTTTTTTTTTTTTTTTTTTGGTGTTTTGAGACAGGGTCTCACTTTGTAGTTCAGATTAGCCTTGAACTAACTCACCATGTAGCTCAGGCTAGTCTTGAATTTTCAGTGATCTTCCTGCCTCAGCCTCCCAGGTGCTTGGATTATAGATGTGTGCCACCATGCCCAGCTGCAATTCTTAAGCACTCTACAAACCATTGACTGAGAAAGGACGCTTGCTATAAAGATGACAACTCACTCAAAAACCAGAGTTTCCCCTTGCCTGTCCAGCCCACTCTGACTTTCTGGGCTTTGAGAGAACCAGGGCTCAGGGCTGGCACTATCCGGAGACTTTCTGAGGGGCCAGGAGACTCTCTGGGAAAATCTTGGCCCAGAATGTAAACATCTGTCACCAAGGTAACAGGATGCAGAGACCCGGAAGGGAGGCCAGGCCCCTGCAGGAGGCCAGCAGGACGCCTCAGCTGTGCGGGAGGATTTGGTTACGCGTTCTTAAGCCATGACCTTTCCTTCCAGACAAGGATGTTCTTTTCCACTTTCCAAAGGTTAGGAAGTTTTGGTTAAAGGAATACATTTGCAGTGATGTTAGGAAAACAAAGCCATTCCAAAGCCTCAAAGTGTGCAAAGGAAGAGTCCATCACACCGTGCTGGAGATGCCAGCGCCCGGGCCAGTGCTGGTGTTTGTGCGGTAAATGGGCAATGTTTACCCAGAGCGCTCTGCGGTTGGGCTTGTATAAATAACAGGCAGACAGATGAGGAAGCCCAAATGCAGCGAGCAGCCTGGAATGTCTCGCTGGCTGCTGGAGTGGTGGAGAATTTCCGCCCCCGAAGGAAAGGGAGCACTCCAAGTATAGAGGGAGATGAGGCCTGGCCGAGGAGGCAGGACCCTCCAAGCCCACCTGTCCTGGCTGTGCCACACCTCAGGGCTTGGACCAGGCTGTAACCGTGCAGCCACCACCTCCACTCTGGCCAATGACGCGTCCAGCAGCACCTTCTGGGAGCTTCCAGACCTGAAACCTTGCCAAGCCACATGCAAACTAATTCAGTTCTTATAGAATAAAATGGGCTTTGCAGTTTTTGCTCTTGGAAATGTAGTGCCCTTTCTGGGAAGAAGTAGAGAAGGGGAGAGAAAAAAGGAAGAGGAGTGAGGAGAGGAAGGGAGGGAGGGAAGGAAGGAGGACAAAGTGGACAGCGAGGCTCTAGGAGGCCAGGCCACCCCCTGGCACCTCCCGCACCCTCTCCCTCCCTGACCCTCCCCACCAGAGCTGTGAGTACGCTCCAGGCTGCCCTGACTGCAGATGGAACTCCAGCGGGCACCACCTGTGGCTTTGCCCTCTTGCCCAAGGTTCTGCAGGGAGGAGACCCTCTTGCCCCCTGCAACCGGAACTCAGAGCCTGAGGAAGGCCAGGGGCCTGGGTGCCCTAACTTGACTTCCTGCTCTGGTGACACCGAGGTCACTCTCCTCATCAACCCAATTCCAAGGCCTCTGCTCGCCCCGGTCTCTCAACCCTCCTCTCCCCCAGCTCATCACCCCAAGGAAGCAAGTCCCTGTAGGTGCTGTAGCCTGCTCGAGCCAGGGCAAGGCCTCGCCCCTCTGCCCATCTGGCCACGCCCACTCCAAAGCTTTCCTCCAATGGGCTAACACCAGCCAGAGGCTGGTCTTCCCGGACCCTGACTGACACCTACCAGGAGAGGCACACAGAGGATACAGAGGCAGGGCAGAGCGTTCCTCGTGCCTACATCAGGGACAGCTGCCCAGAAAGGACCAGAGTGACTGCAGGGGTTGGAGGGTCTGCGGCGCAGATGCAATGCATATTATTTGGTAGAAATCCAGAAACTGGAACAGGATGATGGCTGGAATGTCCTTCTGGTGGGCTTCTGTCCTATGGATAGCCGGCAGCAGGAGCTCCCACGGGGTAAAGAGTTGCCGGCTGCAGGGGTATTTAAGTCAACCGCAAGGAGCTGGAACAACAGCCTGGGCTTGAAGTTCCATGAAGGCTGGCCATGCACAGGCCAAGGCCTTGGGTGCACACAGGGTGGCCTGAACGGGAAGGAGAACTCTGCACGTGAGCCGCTTCAGACGGCTCAAAGGCCCTCAGCACCCGGCTGTAAGCCCATGGGACGGTGCCACCCACAGTCAGGGCAAGTCTCCCCCTCAGTTGGCTGGCCTGCGTGCCAGTCATGTCTGGAGCCAATCATCCTGAAGCCAATCACCTCTGAAAACACCCCACAGACACACCCAGAAGCTACTTTGCTAATCTGCTGGCTGCTTCTGGATCCCATCTAGTAGACAGGTCCTGACTCACGATCACCTTCACTATCTAAGCACACGGGGGCAGGCGGGACTCCTGCAAATCCCCAAGCGGAAGAAAGAAATGTGTGAGCCAGCCCGAGTGGACTTCATTTTCTAGTCTCTCCTGCCAATCCGTAGACACCCGGGCACGTTTGCTGTTAACGACAGGTGTAAACATTAAGGATTATTTGTTTTACTTCTTTATATTTTTCTTTTCTTTCAACATGAGAAGCTAGCTGAAGGCGTGCCTCCTCTTCGCCTGTGGTTTGCAGCTCGCCTGCTGGGGTGAGACAGGGGGGAGGTTGCTGTCGTCAGGGTTTGCAAGAAAATGGGTTTAACAAAGGACACGTAATTTATAGGATTATTTTATAATATTTGCCCAAAGAGTCAAATACAGAAGTGTGCAAGAGGTCTGTCCACACACTAGGGACCCCAATCCAGCTGAGGGCCTGGATCCCATGGCAATGCCCCACGAGTACAGCTGGAGGCCAAGAGCCCACGGCAATGTCTCATGCAAGTCTTTATCAAGGATCTGCGCTGGGAAGGCCCAAAGGTCAGTGGTGGAAGCTAGAAAGTCTGTGCCAGCCGCTGAGGGAACCTCACTGGAGCCAGGAAACAATGCTCAAGGTAAGGACCAGAGCTCCCCAGAGAGAACCGCAGCCATCCTCAGCAACAACGAGGACCCAAGCTCCTCCAGTGATGGGAACAGCTGAGTTCATACCAAGAAAGCCAGCACAACAAGCTTCTCCAGGAGAATCAACAGCGCACCATCTCCCCGTCCAGTTCTTCTATGCTGTTGGCAACACTCCTTAAGTGGGTTGTCCACACCCAGCGCCATGCTGACTTGGGTCAGCAGGGTGTTCCAGTTGACCATTAGTTAACCCACCACAGAGGTCTTAGCCTGACAGCAGTGGGGATGCTTCGGTCTTGCTCCTGCTCCTGGCTCAGGGCCTCAACTACGTGGCTGAGAGCCACCAGCCCCACCGCTGCCTCTGTGTCCCCTATCTGCAGGCATAGGCCCTCAGAGAGATAAAATCACACCACGAAAGGACTCTGAGGGGTGACTGACATCACCCCAGGACAAAGATTATTTATTCAGTGATGGAAAGACAGGGCAATCAAGTGGAAACCCACAACACACAGCTTTAATTCAGCAGCAAGTCCTCATTCGTTCAGAGTTAGCACAAAACTTGTCACTAAATTTCCACATAGAGAAGCACTGCCAGGAGTCTGTCTTTCACACAGAAGCAGCCTCTAAAACCAGGCTCAGGACCGGAGTCCCGGCTGCTGCCTTCTCAGCGGTGCAGCTCCAGGTGCCTGGGTGGTGTCGCCTCACGCAGGGCACACCTGGACATACATTGTCACCTCCACCTGCTCCTGGGAGGCAGCCGTCAAGCCGCAGCACACTTGGTGGATTTGCCTGCTGATTCCTGGGAAGGATTTGGAGATTTCAAGCCTTTAAACAACAGTGACTCCTTGGCATCTTGCAGTATGATCTCATGGCACGTCTACATTCCTGTGGCACAGGGCCAGGGAGGCTACGGCTCCGCGCTGACCGGTGTAGTCTGTGGGACGTGTCCCCAGCACCCAGACAGCACAGCAGGAGCCACCGCAGACATCTGGCTCCTCCGGGTGCCTCTGGCCCGGGGACAGCAGGCTCACCTGACAGGTGCTGCACCCTGCTGCTGGGGCAGGACTCGAGGTCTTGTGGGAGCTCCAGGGCTTCCCTGTGCCTACTGATATCTGAGAGAGACTGGTTTCGAGTATGCTTGCTATGGGGAAAAAAGAGGAAAAGAAAAGAGCAATACAGAAGGGACAAAAGTTTTACTTGATATTTTGCCCAGTGAGCAGTGAGTAGATGGGTAGAGACGCAGGTTCCCAGTGCAGATTCTTGCCATTTTCTGCTCTGTCTGGAGCAGAAAAACGGGCCACGGTGCCTGTGCAGAAGTCACTTGATGCCTTCAGACAGGTCAGCCCCATCTGCCCGTTGTCCAGTGAGGAAGAGGGCAATCAGCTGCTTCCCTGTCAGCCTGTGCAGGGCGGGTAAGAAAAATCAGCACGGATCAGTCCAAGGGCGGTCGCCCGGCTGGGGCGGCTCGTTCGCCACTAAGTGGCCCCCTGTCTGGTGATAACCCTGCCCTTGGTGGGGCCGGCCGGTGACCTCACACCTGGCGCTCACAGCCGCTCTGTGATGTGACCTAAATAAAGCTGGAGCCAGGCATTTCCTCCAGAGCGCCTTGGAGACAGGGCACATTACTCCAGCGATGACTTCAGAACCTTAAAATGAGTTCCACTTGGCCAAGGCGCATTCCCCAGGGTCTAATATCCTGGCTTGACACTGCCTCTCTTTCCCAGGAATCCACAGTCCTGCAAAGGGTCCCTGTCCCCTGGGTGCAGGATGGTGGGAAACCCTCCTCGGGCACCAGCCACCCTCCCTGGCGGCCCTGGAACTCGATTCCTTGCCTGTTTGAGCTGGAGATGCTTAAACCCACTTTGGTTTCCCAGAAGTCTTCCCTCTCCACCGCAGCCTCTGGGAAACCAAATATTCTTTTCACTGGGACAGGTTTTGAATAACACTGTCATTCAAGAGTCCATCGCCCTTCAAATAAGCCTGCGCGAGGAGTTGCCAGTGTCTAATTCCTGCCTCACTGTTTTAAAAATTAAATTTAAAGAACAATCCCCTCCCCGCAGCAGGCCAGGTTTAAGCAGAAGTGGGCATGGAGGCCCTGTCTCCAAGGCGCTCTGGAGGAAATGCCTGGCTCCAGCTTTATTTAGGGCCCATCACAGAGCAGCTGGGAGAGCCGGGCGTGAGGTCATGGAGGCTGCCAGTATGGAGGCAGAAGGGTCCAGAGCAGCCAGAAGTCACCGGCTGCTGGTGGGGGTCATGGAGTCCTGTCTGGAGCCTTTGGGGAACCAGGTCAGGTTTGAGGTGTCCCCTAACAAAATGAAGCTCTGCACGGAAAGTAAGCACCTCTAACTCCTCTTGGTTTTTTTTTTTTTTAGGCCACACATCCATGAGGGTGTTCGTCAGCTTCCTGTTACTGTAACAATTACCCGGCAGGATCAATTTAAACAGAAAAGTTGGTCTGGCTCCCAGTTTGGGCGTGTTCTGTCCAGGGTCAGTTGGCCCTGTTGCTTTTGGGCCTGTGGCAGCTCAGCGCATCCTGGCAGAGGCGTGGGGCGGAGGAGGGCTGTTCACCTTGCCTCCGTGACCAAAGGCCCTCCCGCCAGCCCCAGCTCTTCGGGTTAAAGCCGCGGACTCAGCCTTCGGGACATTCTGATCTGAACGGGGCCACTTCTGACCCCTAAGGGCAGCAGTGACTCATGAGACTTGCAGAGCAGACCACGTCTGCTTCTGAGTGAGTTTCCGCAGCCCTGTCCTCCTGTGCTGAGCAACCAGGACCCAGCATGCGGCTGCTGCAGGGATGCTGGGAAAACAGTGCAGCCTATCGGCCTGCACAAGAGCCATCTCCCTGCAGAGCTGCGGGGCTGGAGCCAAACGCACAGCACGGGGCTCGTGCTGCACTGTGTCCGGATGCTGGTGCCAGCCATCAAGAGCTGGCCATGCTCAAGCACCCGTGTCCCCTCCGCCCTTCCTCCAAAGCCTCTGCTGGGCAGGGTGGGCAGGTGCACCAGGCTGCATCTGTGCCCACACTGATACCAAAGTGCACAGGCTACCCCAGGACCCTTGCACATAGCTGCTCTGAGAAAGTGGGAAGGGAAAGGGAACTCCTGGAGGCCCTCCTTGCGGTGCAAGTCCACAGTTCACCCTTTCTCTCCCGATTTCAGCAGAGACCATGGCCCAGGGGCCACTCGGGGTTGGCAGCACCTCCAAGTCCTGAGGTTGAGCAAGGTCAGGACACCAAGGGCGGGGCCCATGTCTGAGGGGAGCAGCAGCGCTGGAATGTGGAGCCTCTGACTCACACTGCAACCAACAGTCCACCTGGGCCTCCAAGTCGAGCAACTTGGGCTCCACGCTGCTTGGGGTTGTGCTTGCTTCGTGACCAGCCTGAAGCGCTGGGAAAGAATCCCCAGCCAGCAGCCTCAGGCTGTCCTCCCTACGAGGCTGGGTGAGGACCAAGCTTCTGCCTTCTCCATTCACCTTGCTATCCTTTAAAATCAAGCGAGGGCTGGGCATGGTGATGCACACCTGTAATCCCAGCAATCCAGAGGCTGTGGCAGAGGCTAACTGCAAGCTGGAGGCCAGCCTAGGCTACATAGTGAGTTCAAGGCCGGCCTGCATTATATCAAGACCCTGTCTCATTGAAACGAAACGAAACTAAACAAAACACCTCCTAGTTTCGTCACATACACAGGCCTCCCCCACCCCGCTAACTGCCAGCTCCCTGCGCCCCAGGTGGAGGGGAGTGTGCTGTGCCTCCACAGTGGCAAGCCTGGCACAAGCTCAGCCCAGGTGGCACAGTTCTTAAGAGACTGCGCTACAGAACGTGCGCAGTGGGCACCATGGGCGAGCTCTCCGCGTGCAAGAATCAGCGTTCAGCCTGGCGAGGTGGCCCAGTCCTCCATCCCCGCACTCTGGGAGGCTGAGGCAGGAGGATCGTAAGAAGGGGCTGGGGATGTAGTGCAGTGGGTTCATTCCTCAGCGCTGGGGAAAAAAGCAGCCACTTTTATAGCCCCTCATCAGCACCTCCTGGTTTGCATTGCTGGGTGGATTGTCCACACCCAAACATGATCATCAGAAAATTCCCGGACCAAGACTTTCCCTCACTCACATGTCCTTCACTTTTTTGACTGGTCCATGTTTGCAGTCCACAGTGGACCACACGCGTCGTGGGGATCCCCTCCCCCTCCCTCCCTCTCTTGGTCCCTTCCCTTCTGCAAAAGGATGTACCTCCCTGCTTCCTGTTACCTCTCTTTCATTTACTTATACCTTGGCTTTTCCATGTGAGAGAAACTGCATGATGTTTAAGCTCATGTGTCTAATTTGTTTCATGATGGTTGCGAGGTGCATCCATTTTCCTACAAATGACTCGAGCTTATCCTTTTTGTGGCAGAGTAGTACTCCACTGCGTGTAGATACCACACATGCTCACTTCACTTAGACAGAAGCCCACTGGGATGGACTTAGGACTTGCCGGATTCTCCTGGCAAGGGGAGACGCCTACCTAGCATGACGCACCATCGGGCCCAAGAAAATGTGGGAAGCACCAACAGCGGGGAGGAACCGCTCACTGCGGGAAAATCACAGACCAACACACACACACAGCGCACGTGCACACCGTGTCCTGCAGCGTGGGCTTGTCAGCCTGGGCATCTGAGGCCCTGCATACACCAGAGGGCTCAGTGAGCCGAGCCAGCAGGTCTCAGCGCATGGACGTCCCTGATGCCCAAGGCCAGACCACGCGGGAAGCCAGGTCCGAGGGGTGGGGGCTAGCAAAACCCCTGGCCGGATGTAGTGAGGACCGAGGTGAGCAGAGCGAGCTAGGCACTCCCGCAGGGCAGGGCACGGGAGGGGCAGCCATAAGAGGAAGCAGAAAGCTGAGGTGAGGACACGGACACGTGAATCCAGTGGGGTAGAAGCCGAGAGAGGAAAAAGCCGAGGAGACCGCTCAGGCTCGCAGCAGGGACATAGCAATCCATGATGAAGGCCCAGGCCTCCAAGGACAGGGCCCTGCTCCAAAGTGAGACAGACTGCCTGGAATCCCAGCACTCAGGAGGCTGAGGCAGGAGGATCACTGTGAGTTTGAGGCCAGCCTGGGCTACATAGCAACACCCTGTCTCAAAAAAGAGAGGGAGGAAGGGAAGGAGGGAGGGCAGGAGGAAGGAAGGAAGGAAGGGAGGAAGGAAGGGAGGAAGGGAGGAAGGAAGGAAGGAAGGAAGGAAGGAAGGAAGGAAGGAAGGAAGGAAGAAGAGAAGGGAGGGAAGGAAGGAATGAGAAAGGAAGGAGGAGAAAAGAAAGGCACTGGTTCCAATGCCCCCAACCCCCCACCCATGCCCTGCCCGGGGAGGGGAGGGAGGTCAGCATCTGAGTGGTCTAGATGCTCAGCCTCAGGATTTTTTCAGGACTAGGGATTGAACCCTTTAGGGACACAACTCAGCACACAGCACCGGCAGAGCTGACCTCGCCACGTGCTCTACGGACGGAAGAACCACCTTCACGGCTTCCACACCGCACTCCTTCTCCACCCCCCTGCCTCACAGCACAGGGCCCATGCCAGGGGATGGGAGGGGCACTCCCAACGCGGCGGCACCGTCCCTGCACACACAGCCAGCCACAAAGGTGCTGCTCTGGACCAATCACAAACGCGCTATTTTCAACCCTTCATTGGAATCTGGTGCTCTAGGCAGGACCAGTCAGAAGACGCTCTTTCCAATCCTTCATTTGCATACGGGCACAGCCAATCAAGACGCTTCTGCTTCTTCATCTACACACAGCAGGAAGGCAATCGAGCTTTTTGATTGGACAGCTTGCACAGGGTGTGAGCCCAAGTGAGCCTTCCATAGGACGACCATCCAACACCTCACCGGCATGAGAGGGTGAGGACGCTAGGATTTTGGATACAGAAGATCCCTTGGCCCTGTTCTCAGGCTGCTATGAGCCGTCTCGCTGGCCCGCTGTCACCACTTCTTCTCTACCTTCAGTAAAAGTGGGTCTTTCCTCTGCGCCCTGCCCAGTTCTTTGTTCAGGACGTCAAGAGGGGGAGAGAAGCCCCACAGGACTCCTCGCCTGGAGACAGGATTGCTAACACCTGCTGCAAGTGACCAGCCCTGGAAAGTGTCACACGCCAGTTAGGGTGGCATTTCCACTTGATTGGCTTCAGAATCGGCCCCAGGGATTGATGGAGCACACTTCTCTGTGTGCCTGGGAATGGTCCTGGGATCTGGGTCTGGTCCCTACACCCTTCCTCTCTGGCACTGTCCCTAGCTCTGCTTCCCAGTCCCGGTGAACTGAGCAGCTCTGCCGCACCACCCCCGTCCGCCATGATGTCCCGGCCTTGCAGCAGCGGACGATGGACTGAATCCGTGGGCCGATGAAATCGCTCCTCCTTTGAGCTGCGCGTATCATTGTGCCAATGATTGTGTCCCAGCGACGAGAAAGCTAATGCAACGGGCTCTGGTGTTCCTTACACACACAGACCAGTGTTGGAGAACCTGCAGTTTCTCACCTCAGCCCAGGATCTCCTCCTTGGACCACCCGTCCTGACAGGAGCTCACTAATGGTCTCATCACTCTGCTTCCTCCCGGAGAGGAGCTGCCATCTGTGCCCTTACACTAGCCCTGCTGGTGCCCTTGTGCAAATGCAGCCCAGGATGTGGAGCCCGAGGCTGGTGGTAACACAGTGCAGAACCACTGCCTGTGCTATAAAGTTCAGGGAGGAGGGGGGACAGAAACCACACTGCAGGATGGAGAACGTTCTACGCTATGACCTGGGGACCCGTGGCCCTGAACCTGTGGCTGCAGAGAGGTGCCGAGCTGTGGAAGGGCCACAGAGGACAGCCCTGTCCTGCCCATTCTCGAAGCTTTGCGGGCTCCTCAGCTGACAGCAAGAGACTGGAGCCAAGGCCTCCGGCTCCGTCCGCTCCACAGAACCACGGCCTCCTGGCAGGGACAGATCTGCTGCCAGCCCTAAGTGTGTGCTGTGGCCCCGGAGCCACAGGTCTTTTATCAGGCCCAGTCCTTGGGGCCATGACCTCCAGACAGGGCAACCCAGGAGCTCTCATTTGAGCTCAGAGCCTGCACAGCCCTCCGCCCCTGCACAGGGCTAATGAGTCAAACGTGGGCTGTGACAGGCGTGTCAGAGACTGTCCCTCGCTGCCCTTAAAATGAACACGCGTTCATGGAGATGCGCCGTGAAAACAATCTCCCTCTACCTACCGCAGCTTGGAGGGACTGAGACCTCCTGTATCCCGAGCTCTCTGGCAGTGCCAGAGGAGCTGGATGTGGAACGCAGAGATTTCATGCGCTCGCAGGGGTGGAAGACAAGCAAGGAGCCAATTCGAACACAGGCTAAAAATACTATCTGGGCCCCGGCAACAATGAGTAACACGGCTCTTCCCAGCTCAGACAATTACTGTATGAGGAAGGATTTTGTCAAAGCCTGCACGGTTACAAGATGCCTGGCGAGCAGCTGAGAGGAGGGTGACCCCACCTTCATGGAGCACACACCCGTGTACAAGACGCCACTCACTGTGGGGACACGGGATGAGTGCAGATAACAGCGCTGCGGTGCCTCCCCGCTGCACAAGCACGGACTAGGTCAGTGTGTGTGCTCCACCTGCCCCCTGCATGCCCCGCTAGACCGGGGTGGAGAAGGGCAGCGGCAGGGAGGAAGACCGTGGGCCATGTGCTGTGCATACGTTCTCCAGTTCTCAGAGGACTGTCGGTATTTCAGCTGTGTAACAAAATACTTGAGATAAACGACTTGGGGGAGGGAGGGTTTATCTAGGGCTTGTGGTTTCAGTCCATGGTCGGCTGGTTTCATGGCTATGGCCTGTGGTGCAGCAAAGCATCATGGGATAAAGTAGCTCCCTCCTGGTGGGCAGGAAAGGGTGGGGGAAGGGTAGATCCACTTCCCTAGGGCTCCTGCCTGCCTCCATGAGCCCAGTGGGCTCTGAGCTCATCCGTGGCTCAGGCCTTGGGGGAGGCGAGCGCCCTCGAAGCTCAGTCCCCTCCCCAGGTGTTGATGCTTGAGATTCGCTGTCAGCTACTCTTGCTGGTAACTACGGGGCCTTGAGGGGTGGCCGTGTCTCAGTCACTCGACCCCGCTGTAACAAAGCGGATGGACCCATGGCCGGCGAACCACACGGATGTGCTCTCCACAGTCCTGGAGGCTGCAGGCCCGGGATGAGGGTACAGCCAAGGGCAGTGTCTGAGGGCTTGTTGGGTCACAGGTGGTACCGTCCGGCCCTGTCCTCACCTGGTAAAGGGACAGGGAGCTCCCCCGGGCCTTTCAGAAGGACGCTAATCCTATTCAGGAAGTTCTGACTTCAGGACCTAAGGTTCCTAAGTGAGACACCCACTGTTCATTTTGTGGGAGGCGGCTGGATCACGTCTGCGTCGGCTGCCGCACCCTATTGCTTAGGAAATAAGAACCAGAATAAAAAGGCTGCTCAGGGCCGGTGCCATTACGATGCAACCTTTCTGGAATATTTTCAGTCCGAGGTTGGTGGGAGCTGAGGCTGTGTCCACAGAACCGTGTCAGGCAAGGCAGCCTGGGCCTCTGTGATGGGTCCTGGCCCTGCAGGAGACTCAGTGGGCCCAGCTGCAGTGGAGCACAGGCATGTGGGTAGCATGCACCTGCCTCCAGGAGAGACCACCCCACAGGCGTGTCCGGAGAGGGCGTGGGGAGCCCAAATTACAGGGAACGGAGACGGAGAGGACACAGAAACTCGGCTGGGCTTCGGGTCAGAGCTGCAGCTGGCCGGACATTAGCGGGAGGCCGATGAGTATCTGGGAAACCACACCCCATTTCACGACGCTGGCGCAGCCAGGAAGTGGCTGTGGGGTGAGGATGTATCCCAGCACCCCACTTATCTTTCACAGACCTTGGAATACAGAAGAATGAAATGAAGAAGCCTGTCACTCTGGAGGCTGAGGCAGGAGGATCGCCACGAGTTCAGGGCCAGCCTGGGCTACACAGTGTTCTTCAAGCACACGCGCACGTGCACACACACACACACACAACTAAATTTTAAAATGAGGTGATGGGAGCCCTGTGGCAGGACAGGAGAGGGAGCAGGCCCCAGTGTCCCTAGCCCTCTGATTTCCTCTTCCAATCTATCCTCCCTTGCAAGGGCTGCAACAGTCCCTTGACTCCATCCCAGTGGCATGCCTGGAGGAAAAACACACCCTCACTTCTCTTTTCCTGCTCTGCTCTCACTCGATGTGTCGGGTTTCCCGGTACCACGCAAGTGATGCTGCAGATTGCAGGCTGCAGGCCTGTCTCCAAGTCTGTCCCCGCTTCCATGCCAACTAAGCACCCAGGTGGCATGCCCTCCAGTTTGCCAAGCAGCTGTAACCCGGCGAGGCCTGCAGAACCCAGGGAAGCACTTCTTAGGGTGAAGGTTCCTTATCCACAGTATCACAAAGGGTGAAAAGGTGCCCAGTGTGAGGGGCAGACAAGGGCTCAGCTTCCTGCCCTCTCCGGAGCGCTGCTCTCCAGGGAGCTCCAGGCGTGAGGGACCCACAGCTCTCGGAGCTTGTGCTGTGGATTTGCAGAGGCTTTGTTATGGGCTGTGACCCCTTCTCTCGGAGGTTAGGGCTGGAAGTCCCAGCCCTCTAATCCTGCTGGATCTTCCCTGCCATGGGCCCCATCCTGAAACCTCCTGGGCACTGCCAGCAGTCAGCTCACACACCGAGAGCATCGCTTAGCGCTATGGGCTCTGAGGACTTCCAGGGACTGCCCAGGCAGTGGGGGTAATAATGAGAGAATAATAACAATGTATGTCTCACAGAATCATAGAACTTGCACTGCAAGGTAACATTGTTGCTATTTTATCAGCGGGATACTAATCCTCTGAAATTCAACACTGTCTTTTCGTCCAGGGCTTGAAGTTAGCTCATCAGAACTTTGTGTTAAGACAAAAATCCCTCTCCTCCCCTCCCTTCTCCTCCAAGGGCTACAGCTTTTATCACCTTATGGTGGCAGGTACAGGGGTAGCCTGCCCTAGGCTCAGCGGGTGGGGAGAGAGAAAGAGAGAGAGAGAGAGAGAGAGAAAGAAGTATCAACCCATCAACTGTTTATTTATTTGGGAGGGCTTGTATGAGACAGGGTCTCACTATGTAGCTCAGGCTGCAACCTTCCTGCCTCAGCCTCCAGAGTGCTAGAACAACAGGTGCGCACCACCATGCCCAGCTTCATATTTCTCCTCTCAAGCGGGTAACCGTATCCCGCACCAGAAGCAACAAGCTGACTCTCATTGCAAGGGGGGAGGTAAACGCCAAAGGGTAAAGTCGCCAAGATTTAAAAACAAAGACCGAAAACTAAACAAAAAGATCCCTCAGTCTGCATTTCATCCAGCTGTTCACGTTGTATGCGGCGCCTCCTGGAGCTTGGAGTCCAGGCTGGGCAGGTGCTTTCAGGGGCTCTGAATACTGTGACAGACACGCAGCCCGACCAGAGAGGCTGAAGACAAGCACGCTCTGAGGGCCTCACTGTCTCCCGCGGTCTGAGGTCTCGGCCTCCTGCCCAGAGCAGTGACTGTCTGTCGGCTCCCTCTGCCCACCCAGGCATCAGCACCTTTGTCAGGGATGGCGCCGGACCCCTTGATCTGTGGCCACTGCACAGACAGGGGTAACTGACGGATTCCGAGCACATCCGGCTACGACCAAGCCCTGGCACTGTCATGGTGGGCTCGGGCTTGCTGCACATCTGTGCCCCTGGGAGAGACCTCCCTGCCTCTGCCTCACAGCCCTGAGCACTTGGTCTCACGGCATTTACCGAGCATCTCTGTGATAGTCGGCAAGTGAGGCCAAGGACAGTGGACAGCTGGGGAGGCCCTGGGCCCGGGCGGGAGTCTGGGTGACCAGGCCTTGTCAGACAAGCAGCATGCGGTCACAGTGACCAAGAACCAGGAGGACGGTGAAGTGCAGGGACAGAACAAGCGAGGTGAGACAAGGTGCTGGGCAGCCGCTGTGACAGCTCCACTCCCACCAGTCTGGAAAACCCTTTCTCCTTCTCACTTTGTTCTCCTGATGCACGGCTTGGACAGGACGGTGCTAAGAGGCCCGGCAGACGCACGCACGCCACGAGCCTCCAGTCCTCACGGGCCGGTCTCTAGCGTGAGTGAGCCGTTAGTGCTGCAGGCTGAGCTCAGCCTGACTCAGAGGGTCTGAGCCTCGGTCATTTTTTGGTATAAAACCTCCTAGATAGGGCTGGGGAGATAGTTCAGTGGCAGAGCGCCTGCCTGGCAAGGGCGAGGTCCTGAGTTTGAGTCCCCGTTCCACAAAAAAACCCTCCTAGACAAAGAGTCCACTTGGAGCCCACTTTTACAACTCCTCCCGACTACTGGGAGCTACGTGACCGCAGAGGCAGGGGCTGGGGGACAAAGCCACCATCTGGGACCGAGCGGGCGGAGGCCTGAAGGCAGCACCGCCCTGACAGCTGCTTCAGTGCAGCGTGGTGTGGTGGACCGCGGACTTCCGGCCTCCAGAACCGTGACAGAATAAACCTGTGTTCGGAGCCAAGTAGGGGAAGCCTGGTCAGGTGGTTGTAGGACGCAGACGCAGCTCCCTTGGCCCAGGCTGGCTGCTGAAAGGAAGCCTAGGCTGGGAGAACCTGACTCTCCAGATACCTGTTCAGAACAAAAGGACAGCTGTGGGGGCCGGGCTGGAAACGCCCCACTTCTGAACCCCACACTGACTCCCCCCGGCTCATAGGAGGGCTGTGTTTGTCAGCTCCAGCAGTGCAGACAGCTGAGTTTCGTAGTATTGCGGTCCTCACTGCATCAGACACCAGCGAAACCCAGTTTCTGAGGGAACGGAGCCTGCAGGAGCTGCTGGCTTACGAGCTCCTAGCAACGGGCCAAAGCCCTGGTGACACGGGTAGGGAACACAGCCTCAGCACCACAGGGCACCCAAGCCGGGGAGGCTCCAGCCCACAAGGGCCAGAGGGATGGCGCAGGAGTGGCCGTGGTCAGAGGGAGCCGCCCATGTGGGCCCTTGGAGGAGAAACAGACAAATGTCGAGGATGGACAGGCAGCTGGTGAGGAGGAGGAGATGGGGAGGGCGGTACCCAGCTGGGTTAGATGCAGGGCATGGTTGCATCCACCTGTAATTGCAGGATTTGGGAGGCTGAGGCAGGAGGATTGCCACAAGTTTGAGGCCAGTCTGGGCTCTATAGTGAGTTTAAAGCCAGCCTACACTATATAGCAAGACCCTGTCTTTAAAAAAAAGGAAGATGAAGGGAAAGCAGCACATGTGAAGCTGGAGCTTGGCGGAGAGGCTGTAAGTTGGCCAGAAGTGCTGGGGGCCAGGAACAGAAGTAGGGCTGGTGAGGATGGTCCTCAGGGGCACTTAGAGGTAGACAGAAGCGACCTGGGGACAGTGGGGTAACAGGGCAGACGGTGGCTGCCTAACAAGGTGGGACAGGGCAAGGGACGAACCCACTGCCGGGAAGGGTGGGTGCAGACTGCGAGCTGGGTGGTGTGCTGGCCAGGTGCTGGCCATGGGCATCCGGATGGTGATTCTAACTGGGTGGTTCACAGACGCTAGGTACCCTGTATAAACAAACACCCGCACAGGGGGCTTGGGGTGGGGCTCCACGCTACAGAAACAGCAGGCTTCCACCACGGCCCTGCACAGCGTGAGGCCGAGGCACACAGGGCGTGCACAGTGGGGTGGGAGGGCCTGGGGGAGAATCCAGTGGCACTGATCGAGGGGCAGCAGAGAACCTGCACAGGGGGCTTGGAGCACCAGGGAAAGCACCAAGCCCCAGGGGGCTGAAAGTGTGCATGGGGGTGGGGAGGAACTGCTCAGACGGAAAGGGCAACACACGCGAAGGCCAGAGGCAAGAGGCAGGAGGCTCAGTCACCCCATTTATTTACTTGTCTTCAGACAGAGTCTTGCTAGGCATCCAGGCTGGCCTCAGCCTCCTGAGTGCTAGGATCACAGGCCTGCGCCATGAGGCCTGGCTCAGTGGCTCATTTATCCAGGGTGTGTGGGTTGGGCCCAGCTGCGGGCACTGGCGTGGGGGGGGGGGGGCAGCTGCAGGTGCTCCTGGAAGGCAAATTTCCCTCTAGGAGCCAAGGCGAGCCTGTGAGCCCTCGGTGAGGACGTGGGAGGCCTCTTGCTTGTTCAAAAGACCACTTCAGCTGTAGCTGGAGTAAAGGAACCTGGAGGCTGGGGAGCGAGGCAGAGGCTGCAGATCGGAGATACAGAGGAGCAGGGCGGACAGAACTTGGTGACAGGCTGACCCCTGGAGGTACGGAAAGAGCCTGGGCCGGTGCCAAGTTCCGGGATCAGGTTCCTGGGTGGTTTCCCAGGCCAGCGTGACTGACAGCCAAGGTTGGGGCCCCAGAGTGAGCCTGGCGGGGGCAGAGGAGCCAATGCAGGCAGCTGGGGAGACAAGAGTCGAGAAAGCCCAGGCAGTGCCACCTAACTGAGCTATCGGTTTAAAAGAAGGGGTTGGTAAAGTGCCAGCAATTAGAGGGCAGAGGCAGGAAGGTCTCGGCCACACTTGGCAGTTTCTCTGCTTACAGTGCAGACACCAGATGGCACTAAGCCCTGTGGCAGTGCACAGCTGTTATCCCAGCACTTTAGGAGGCTGAGGCAGGAGGATCCCAGGTTCAAGCTGGCCAACTCAGTGACTCAGGGAGACCCTGTCTGAAACTAAACAAGTGCATTACAGGGGACCCTAAACTCAAGGCCCTCTGAAAGATATAATCACCCCAAGTACAAAGGCTTTCTCACTTTGTAGCCACACAACTCAAAACATAGATATTCTTGCAAGTTCTTAGATAGTTGGAGAAATGTTTTAGGTGCAAGGATTTTCAGACTAACAGGCTTTGAAATTAGTGAAACAAAAACCACTGACGATAGAGCTACGGATCCGGGGACAGGTTTTTCACATCCACGAACCTAACGCCCGATCGTTTCTTCCACGCACTTGCCGAACACCTCATCTACGACCTTATGGCGGGGCAGGTGCATACTGTGACTTGAACATTAACATAGGCTTGAAAGGTATTAAAACCGATCTGTCAGTCCAGGAGCTTTCCGGGGTCTGGTCTGGGATTTCCACGTGGAGAGCAGTCCCCCAGGCCGCTGCAGGCTTTGGAGCGCACATCACGCTGTCCGCTGCAGCCTGCCTGACCCACAGAGCCTTTCCGGAGCGCTGCTCTGCACAGGCCGGCCTTTCGGCGAGCGGGCCTGGTCCTGGTGGGGCTGTCACAGTCATGCAACAAAAGGAAGCGCTGGCGACACCAAGGGAGGGCTGGGACTACGGAGAAGACGCTGCCCCGCTCACTAAGCACCTTCCTTGGAGAGGTCGTGAGCGCGCGCGTCCCAAGCCCCGGTCTGCAGCCGCAGCCGCAGCCGCAGCCCAGCGGCGC